GGGAGGGGTTGTTAAATTGCACGCTAGTTTTTCGTAATGACGAGTCTGTGTTCAGATGCTGATGCTGATCTGGCCGTTCTTGGCCTTCCTCTGGAACTGCAAGAAATTAACGTAGTGTCAGTAGAGCCCCAATAAATGGGCACATTATCACTTTTCTGTTGAACAAACAAGCACATCTCTTGGCTATCATCAAGCATGTAGTGATTAAAGTAAATTCATGGCGACCTTCGATCACAAAGTTCTCATCAGTTATTTTATTAAACTAATAGAGAAGTTTGGTCTAATGAACCAAAAAGATTTTCTTACCGGCATTTGTTGTTGAAATGACCCGAGGGCCTCACTTGAGGCTGCCGAAACGGCTGAGGAGATCCGCCGTCCCAGAGATCCTCTGGCGGCCATAAACTCCACAGCGCTTCCCACGATTCTCCCGCAGTAAGTTGATGGAATTTTTTACTGCTACTGGGCGAGACTGATCATGAGCCCGCAACCCAAACCTTTACAAATCGCTCACTAGCGATATGTTACAATGATTGATTTACAAACTTGTGCGATGAATGTAAATAAATTATTTTGCGATGTGTAAATCGCACATTTGCGATTTTGAACTTCACCATTTGCAATTTACACATCATAAATTGCAATTCAAAAGTTAAATACTGGCGATTTATTAATAGCACGTTTGCGATTCATAAATCGAGTTTGTGATTTAGAGATAACATACCCGCATGTCGGCGATTACATCTCAAGTGCAATTTATGTCATGCAAAGTTCCGTCGCATGCGGCTTATACATCTTACCAAAACGTTACTTGCGATTTATAAATCGTAACGACGCGATATATTCCGATTTACAAATCACGGATGGCAGGTCACCTGAGCTGCGATTTATAAATCAAAACGACTTGTCATTTGCCATTTATAAATCGCAAAGCCAATCTACCTGCAATTTATAAAAGCTCGGGTTCGTCAAACAAACACAATTTTCCATTTATGTTTGTCAAAAGATGTTAACTCGAAGATTCATAAATTTCAAGTCAAGAAATGACGCTGTCTAGTAAATAACAAAGATTTTCGTAAAAAACGGCCGAATCATGTTTTACACTTGGCGCCGCGGGGCCCGATATAGCCTCTCCCTAGCGAGCTAGTCAATCGGTAAAAAGAAACTCCTCAGTAGGTAAGATACATTCTAGGTTTGAAGCCAGAAACAGCAAAGGAGCTCAGTGCAAGAAAGGAGCTTAGTCTAATTACCTGGTTTAATTGTTGTTGTTGGAGTTGTTGTGGTGACTGAAAAGAAGAATGAATTCATAAAACCAAGAAGCTGCAGAGATGTCAACTTGGAGATTCCGTAGTTGGAAGCAGAAAAAAGCACATTATAAGAAAAGAGTGAAATCTAGTTACCTGGTTGAGTAGTTGTTGGAGGAGCTGTTGAGGTCGCTGAAAGAAGAAAGAATTCATTAAACCAGAATTAATGGGAAGCTACAGATATGTCAACTCAGAGATTTCCAAGTCGGAAGCAGAAAAGGAGCACTGTGGAAAGGAAGAGCTTACTCTCGCTACCTCTTTCAGTTGTTGTTGGAGAAGCTGTTGTGGTGACTGAAAAGAAGAAAGTGTTCATAAAACCAGAATTAAAGAGAAGCTGCAGAGACGTCAACTCGGAGATTTCGAAGTCGGAAGCAGAAAGGGAGTACAGTGCAAGAAAACAGCTTAGTTTAGTTACATGGTTGAGTTGTCGAAGGAGCTGTTATGGTCGCTGATGGAAGAAAGAATTCATAAAACCAGAATTAAAGGGAAGCAGGAAAAAGCACTGTGCAAAGGAAGAGCTAACTCTAGGTACCTCTTTCAGCTGTTGATCGAAGAGCTGTGAAATTTACTGAAAAGAAGAACGAATTCATAAAACCAGAATTAAATGGAAGCAGCAAAAAAGCTCCGTGCAAAGGAAGAGCCAACAATACTTACCTCTTTCATTTTTTGATGGAGGAGCTGTTGTGGTGACTGAAAAGAAGAAAAAATTTATAAAACCAGAATTAAAGGGAAGCAAGAAAAAATTAACCTGCAAAGGGAGAGCCAACTCTGCTTACCTCTTTCAGTTGTTGATGGAGGAGCTGTTGTGGTAACTGAAAAGAAGAAAGAATTAAAAAACCAGAATTAAATGGAAGCCGCAAAAAAGCTCAGTGCAAAGGAAGAGCCAACTCTACTTACCTCTTTCAGTTGTTGATGGAGGAGCAGTTGTGGTAACTGAAAAGAAGAAAGAATTCAAAAAACCAGAATTAAACTGAAGCCGTAAAAAAGCTCAGTGCAAAGGAAGAGCCAACTCTACTTACCTCTTTCAGTTGTTGATGGAGGAGCTGTTGTGGTAACTGAAAAGAAGAAAGAATTCAAAAAACCAGAATTAAACTGAAGCCGCAAAAAAGCTCAGTGCAAAGGAAGAGCCAACTCTACTTACCTCTTTCAGTTGTTGATGGAGGAGCTGTTGTGGTAACTGAAAAGAAGAGAGAATTAAAAAACCAGAATTAAATGGAAGCCGCAAAAAAGCTCTGTGCAAAGGAAGAGCCAACTCTGCTTACCTCTTTCAGTTGTTGATGGAGGAGCTGTTGTGATAACTGAAAAGAAGAAAGAATTCAAAAAACCAGAATTAAATTGAAGCCGCAGAAAAGCTCAGTGCAAAGGAAGAGCCAACTCTACTTACCTCTTTCAGTTGTTGATGGAGGAGCTGTTGTGGTAACTGAAAAGAAGAAATAATTCATAAAACCAGAATTAAATTGAAGCTGCAAAAAAGCTCAGTGCAAAGGAAGAGCCAACTCTACTTACCTCTTTCAGTTGTTGATGGAGGAGCTGTTGTGGTAACTGAAAAGAAAGAATTCAAAAAACCAGAATTAAAGGGAAGCTGCAGCGATGTCAACTCGGAGATTCATTATTACTGCTGCGTTTTAATTTGGTTTGATTTCTTAACTTGATCAATCATATAAACATAATATACTTGATTCTCGATTTAATTAATTCTTCATTAAATTTTAATTCTTACTACCTATTCATATCAGCATATATTTTTGTACATGATTGATATTTTACATGTTATATAAAGAAGTGTCCCCAACTAGCTTCTTTAGCTAAATACCCTGACACATTAATAAAGTGTATGTATGTATTTATGTATGTACCAGAGTTAAGGGGACGGTGCAAAGGTGTTTACGCGGAGATTTATAAATTGCAAGTCTAGAAATGTTGCTATCTAGTGAACAACAAAAAAATTATTGAAACAAATGGCTAACAATTTTTTTTTGTACTTAGTGCCCCATACATTCTTCCCCTAGCGAGGTAATTGCGTGGTGAAAAAGATGCCTCTCAATTAATAAAGTTCATCCTAATTAAGTAATTAAACTGATTGAGTTTTTTTGTGGGGAACTATTGTGGTTTTTAAAAAGAAAAAAGAATTAAAAAGAAAACAAGATTTAAACGGAAGTTGCAAAGTTGGTAACTTGGAGATTTATAGATTGCAAGTCATGATAAATGTTGCTATCTACTTAACAACAAAACATTTAGAGAAACAAATGGCTAACCAATTCTCTCTTATACTTAGCGCCCCATACATTCTCATTCCTAGCGAACTAATTACGTGGTAAAAACGATACTTCTCAGTTATTAGTGAGGTACATTTCGATAAAGTAATTAACCCAGTAAAGTTGCTGTTGGAGGAGATGCCTTTGTGGTGGCTAAAAGGAAAAAAGGGTTCATAAAACTAGAGCTAAACGGAAGCTGCCAAGGTGTTAAATTGGAGATTTGTATATTGCAAATCTTGAAAATTTTCTAAAGGCTGATAGTTTCGAAAGAAACTGTTTGGGGCTGCGTCGGTGGGAGTAACGAAATAATTTGGATATATTAACAAAGTTGAAATGGTAAATTGGCCACCGTAATGATTACAAAAGCTGACGTTTCGAGCGTTGGCCCTTCGTCGGAGCCAAAATTTTCTGTCTAGTTAACAACAGAACATTTACAGAAATAAAAGGGTCACCAGTTTTTTCATATTAAAGGTCCCATATATTCTCTCCCAAGCGCGCTGATTGCGTGGTGAAAAAAGATGTCTCTCAATTGGTGAAGTGCCTTGTAATTAAGTTTGAGGTCGGAAGCACCAAAGAAGTACAGTGCGAGGAAGGAGGTAAGTCAAGTTACCTGCTTGCATTGTTATGCGACTGACAAGAGGAAAGAATTTATAAAACCAGAGTTCAATAGGAGTATAAAAAATGTTGACGAAGATTTATAGATTGCAAGTCTAGAAATGTTACTATCTATTAAACGACTAAAATTTCAGTGAACAGCGAAATAATGACGCCCAATTTAATGTCTCCTAAGCGAGTTAATGAAGCGGTAAAAAGGAGCTTCTCGATTTGTAAAATGCAATACAATTAAGTTTGAAGCCGGAACCAGTGAACAACCACATTGCAATGGAGGAGCCTACCCAAGTTACCTAGTTGAGTGGTTGTTGGAGGAACTGTTGTGGTGACTGAAAAGAAGAAAGAATTCATAACTTTTGACGCTTAATAATATGGTGCTAATAGTCAGAGAAATGTCGAATTCAGTGTCTATAGTAATCCGGGATTGCACTGGTTTCACTTCTCTTCGCATTTTGATAAGCTCCCGTTAACTCGCGCAGGCATCTCAGTCAATCAGATGGAAAACAAAGAGCCCGTGGTGGCTTGGTTTCGTTCTATACCGCGCGAGTTCTTGTCGGCTTCTTGGGATACATGCGTTTGTTTGATTGGCCGTTTCGGCAGGTTTGGGAGGGGGTTTTGAGAGCATCAATCAGAAAGCGCTCTATGGCCTCACATGATAGGAGCTCAACTGGACATGTACCGTTGTTGCAAGAGCCTAGTTGAAACGCTTGACCAGTACAGAATGCCCCACCATTGGATGGAGGAGGGTTATCGCAGTCACGCGTTCTCCACGTTCTTCCTGGACCACATGTTCTACTGCAAGGAGCCCAAGAACCCCAATTGGACCAATAGCCATCAACTATCAAGAAAAACCCTAGCTTAGACTCACATTTTACCCTAGCTTGGAAAGATGATAAATTTTGAGAGCTGAAGATGTTAAGTCGGAGATTCATAAATTTCAAGTCAAGAAATGACGCTGTTTGGTAAATAACAAAAGTTTTCGTTAAAAAACGGCCGAATCATATTTTACACGTGGCACCGGGCCCGCTATAGCCTCTCCTTAGCGAGCTAATCAAGCGATAAAAATAAACTTCTCAGTAGGCAAAGTACAGAGTTAACGAGGAGCTGCAGAGATGAAAGGGTAAAATATGGAGGTAGCTGCAGAGATGATAAGTTTCACAGTTGAGGCAGTAAAGAAGTACAGTGTGAGAATGGAGCTTAGTCTAGTTGCATGAATGAGTTTTTGTTGGAAGAGCTGTCGTGGTCTCTGAGACAAGAGACAATTAATAAAAACAGAATTACAGGGAAGCTGCAGAGATGTCAACTCGGAAATTTTGAAGTCGGAAGCAAAAAAGAAGCAAAGGAAAGAGCTAAGTCAAGTTACCTGGTTGAGTTGTATATTCTTTCCCTAACGAGCTAATTGCGTGGTGAAAAAGATGCTTCTCAATTGGTTGAGTACATTCTTATTAAGTGAATAACCTGGGTGAGTTGTTGTTGAAGGTTTTGTTGTGGTTTCTGAAAAGAAGAATGAATTCATGAAATCAGAGTTTAACGGAAGCTGCAGCCAGGTGTCAACTCGGAGATTTCCAAGTCGGAAGCAGAAAAGAAATACTGTGCAAGAAAGAGTTTAATCAAGATACCTGGTTGAGCTCTCATTGGAGGAGCTGTTAAGGTCACTGAAAGAAGAGAGAATTCATAAACCCAGAGAGAGATGCAGAGATTGCAGAGATGTTAACTCGGAGTGTTACAGATTACGATTCTAAAAAAATGTTGCTACTAGTTAATAACAAAACGTTTAGTGAAACAAATGGGTCACTATTTTTTTTATATTTGGTGCTCTTATATTTTCTCTCTAGAGAGCCAATTGCGTTGTAAAAAAAATGCTTTTCAGTCGGTAAATTACGCTCTATTAATGTTTGATGTCCAATGCACCAAAGAAGCGCAGTGCGAGGGAGGAGGTAAGTCAAGTTACCTGGTTGAGTTGTTATTTGAAGAGCTTTTGCTGCGATTGAAAAGAAGAAAGAGTTCCTAAAACCAGCTTGCAAGCGTAGAAATGTTGTTCAGTCTCTAATAAACAACAAAACATTCAATGAAAATAACAGCGAATTAATGTTTTACACTGACTTGGCGACCTATTTAATGTCTCCTAAGCGAGTTAATCAAGAGGTAAAAAAGGTGCTTCTCGACTGGAAAATACAGTCTGATTAATCACCAGAGAAATGTTCAATTCAGTGTCGAAAGTGATTCAAGTCTGCATTGGTTTCGCCTCTCTTCGCATTTTGACAAGCACCCGTGAACTCAAGTAGCCATGTCAGCCAATCAGATTGAAAACAGAGCCAGTGGTAACCCGATTACCCTCTTTTTCCCCAGCTTCAGATGATTGACTCGTTTTTTACTTTGAGTTGTTATTGGCTCCTTGGGATATATGCTTATGCTTGATTGACCGTTTCCATACATAACTTTGGAGGTGGTTTTGCTTGAAAGGATCAATCAAAAAGCGCTCTGAGACCTCATCACTTGATAGAAGCTTGCCTATCTCCAATTATTCGAACACTCTATCTGCTTTGTTATCAGGGTAACAGTTTGTCTAATAAATTAAAGTAACATCTCTTGCCATCTCTCGTTCCATTTTTCACCAGAGATTAGTCCAGTTCCAGATTACTTACCAGCACAACTTGAAGGACAAAATGCAGTAACGTTAGTAGACCCGATGCAATCAAGACCACCAAACTCAGGTGCGGGATTAGTACAAGTCCTCGTGCGATACCTGAGATTACCCCCACAAGGAGCGCACTGGGTCCAAGCTGTCCACTCGCTCCATCCGCCATTGATGGGATCTACATCAGTACGAAAGAAAAGAGATACGTCAGACCCAAATACGTGAAGAAAACTTTGGAAAGGATCAGAGAACCATGGTGAAAGGGATAACCTAAGTAAAATTACTTGGCTGAGGTGTTGTTGGAGGAACTGTTGTGGTGACTGAAAAGAACAGAGAGTTCATAAAACCAGAGTTAGACGGAAGCTGAAAAAATGTTAACCAGGCGATTTAAAAATCACGATCTAATAAGCAACAAAACATGTATTGAGAAACTAAGTATCGAAATGATGTTTTTACACTTGGCACCCTATTCAACCTTTCTTTTGTGAAAAAA